CATCTCTCCATAAGACGCACCAAATTTTTAGGAGAAGAAAACAGGAAAAAAATAATCTTGGAATTTCGGCCTGCTCGGCCAGCAGAGGTGAGGGTGGGGGAAGCCTCCAAAGAGTCTGAGAGTGCCTTTCAGGACCTGAAAGGCAGTCTCAGACCCTTTGGAGGCTTCCCCCACCCTTATTCCCGCTGGCCGAGCAGGCCGAAATTCCAAGATTATTTTTTTCCTGTTTTCTTCTCCTAAAAATTTGGTGCGTCTTATGGAGAGATGTGTCTTATAGAGCGAAAAATACGGTAACTTCTCAATCAATGATCCCAATAAATCCAGGAGACTTTAATTACTAAAAAAAGAGGAGCAAACAGATGCTGAAGCTCAAAACATCAGTCCTAAATGATGGTTTGGCTTCCATTTTAGAGGAATGGAGCTGAAGAATAATGCTCTTGAATAGTTTTAATGTCTTTCACATTTCAAGGATGTGTACAGGGCTTCTTAATTGTACCAAGTCAGTGTGACTTACCAGACAATTATCAAGAGCCACTGGTTTGTATGTCTGCCTGAGTTTTTCAACTGTCTAGTGATCAAGGATTAATAATACCCTCCTATTAAAGGCACATCAAGATTGTGAAAGGGTAATAGTGTTGGGCATAATATTATTAGTTTGACTCATCCAGCCAAAAGGAAATCCTTCAACTCCACAATTTCTGCAGTATAAATCCAGCTTTGGTAAAAGAATATGCAGTTAACACTACCCAGGGTCAATACGGCTATAGTCCTCAATGTATTTTACTTGTCAACAAAATTTTCTGCAATCAGTGGGGTTGCTGTCAAATCAATAACCCACATAAACCTGTTCTTTTTTTTTAAATTCAGATGAACCAAAAGACTCCCTCCCTCCACGAGCTTAATGACTCCTGGACTTCTCAGTTTCTCCATCCATGTACCTTGGTTTTTCCTTCCTGATGGAAACTAACTTTTACGAAGAATTTTAGATATCACAATTTAAATTAATCTGGAAACTGCTTTAATTGACTGTGGTAGACTGTTTAATTTACTACCTTTGTGCAGCCATTTTTATTTGACACTATTTACAGTTTTAAAATTTTAATTACTCCATGAAGTCTTTGAGGAAAAGAGGAACAAAAATATTTTAAACAAACAAAAGCAATTAACAAAAAAGAATGAAGTAAATTAATGTCACTTACTTCTAGCAGAGAATTTATTCTCTCTTCGGGTTCGCCCTGTTTTCTTTAGGCAACCATCACAGACAAAGCTGAAACAAAAGATGCAAGACTAGCGAAATTGCTCATCCAAATCTGCTACCCTCCAAATATTCCCTGTACATTTTCAAACATAGTGGCACCAGTAACTGACAACTGAATTCAAATATCACTGTGAAGAAGGTAAGATATTAGACTTGACTTTGCGTTTTACAATTTGTTTAAATTAGCTGTCATTAAAAGAATCAACTGCCCAAATACAGTTGGTCTAACCAACATTTATCACGGATTAAGCAGAGTATTAATTTTAGTCTGTTCCACAAGCTAATATACACCACAATGACTCCTCCTTTTCCCTCTTGCAAAGGTGATGAGCAAGAACCCCAACTAGATAATATACTCTGATACTGTACATTGTGTAATATGTAGCAGCTGTGTTTTTGTTATTAGTCAATCAGATAAGGTTCTGCTACAATTAGAAAGCTTAGAAAGCCAAGTTTCCTGAGATTTGGGTTACAGAAAGATCCTCCATCCCAAATACAACACGGAGATTTCATAGGAGAATATTAAGGAAAATCTACTTTAAAAACAAAACACCCCCAAGTTAAAGGTTGTGATTTAATGACAGTCATTTAAAGATTTAAACTTCTGATGTTCATATTTTTGATGCAGACCCATAGTCACAGTGTTGTGTCTTTTTTTATATCCAGAAAAACGTAGCATTCCTGCAGATGATGTTTTAATATGTTTCCAGTCATAGTCAATAGTATTTGTAAGCTGCCTTGACAGCTCTTATTCAGTGAAAAGGCAGAGCTGAAATAGAGGAGGAGGAGGAGGAGGAAAAAGAAGCAATGTTCCACCCAGATGGCCAGATTATCTCATTGTGAAGTACACAAATCTGATGCATTTTTCTTCCACACTCTATACATTCAACAAATCTGGAAGACAAAATAAAACTTATAAGCATTGCAGAATGCTATCAAAGGAATGAGGATTAATCAGAAAAATGTTACAGAGTTAAGTTAGAATTTATGCAGTTGAATAGAAACTGTACATTCTTTAAACCTGGACATCTGCTATACACATATCTTCACACAAAGAAAAGACATATAATTTAAAATGATGCAACTCAGTTCTAGATTACCAGTTGTCAAATGTCCTAAAGTAACCAACGGTACATTTGATTCTTATAACACTGCTTTTTTAATAATCCATCACCAGCAGTATTTAAGAGGAACACAAAATCCAGCATATAGAAAATGCTGAAAATGGGGCTGGGTATGCAATGAAAACAGTTAAATATATAAACTGTCTGGGAAATTTAGAAAAAAAATCAAATGGACACAATTTTTGCACTTGAGGATGGATTTTCCCAGTAATTTATAATTGTGAAAATTAATATAGCAACATATTAGCATTTTAATGCTTCAAATGCAAAATAAACAGAACAATATGTGAGTATTCTTCAGCACTATTTGTTAGGAAGGAAAATGTTTTCTTCAGCACACAATACAAAGCAATACTGAAGCCTATAGTCTAAGTTAGTGGTGGCGAACCTTTTTTGGGCTCGCGTGCCCAAAATGGAGAGGGAACAATAGGGGATGGCGTGCCGCCGCTGCAATAGTGGATGGACCCAGACCTGGAAGTGGCGGTTTAAGGGGAAATCATGGTGACAGACCTGGAGGCCCCGGAACATGAAGTGGCGGTTTAAGGGGGAATGATCATGGTGACGGACCCGGAAGAGGCGGTTTAAAGGAGAATCATGGCGACGGACCCGGACCCGGACCCGGAAGTGGCGGTTTAAAGGGAGAATTATGGCGATGGACCTGGAGGACCCAGAAGTGGCAGCGGAAGGGGGAATCCCGGCTGCAGCCGCCTCATGAGGTTTGGCTGCGCGGGGGGGGGGGGGGGGGGGGGGGCACGCGGGGGACGTGCCAGAAGGGCTCCGCGTGCCAGCTGTGCCACGTGTGCCATAGGTTCGCCATCACTGGTCTAAGTGAATAAAGCTAAACCCCTTCAAAAACAGGTACTTAAATGTTCTAGGATGGTACCAATAAGCTTCATTTTCAAAAAAGATGGAATACATTTCTTAAAGTGTGATTGTAACAGCTCAAAAGTATTACTTACTGTTCTGGGTCCAGTGTATCATTTTTTCTTTTTGAAAACTGATCTTTATTTATGGTGCTGAGGAGAGAAATCGACAATCTTAGTTGTGATATGAATAGTTCATAATAAAATTATCTGCAGCAGACCTGTTACAGATTTCAGCAGGAAATTCCTTAAGCATATTCCCTCTTAAGAATTGTTTGGGAAGAAAGGAAAAGACTGAATGGGACAAGAAATTAGGGTATCTCAACCCAGTATTAATAAATTTTTGTCCCTGGCTTACTACAAAAGATTTTACAGAACATTGCAGGTGGATCCAGATAACTTGGACTTAAAAGACCACAGCATAGAAGCTATCCATGTACTGAAGCCTCTGCAGAAGCTCTGAAATCCATTACATCAGACAGCAGTCACAGAGTTTCACAATGTGATCAGAAGTTACATATTATTCTCAATGAATAAAACACTTAGAAACAATATGTTTCTAAAGAGCTATCATGAGATTTCTTGTAATCCAAAAACCCCATTCTGCCATAGATACAGCATACAAGTGTAACAAGGTTCCTCTTCTTTGATGAAATGCATTCTATACTAAGAATCTGTTTCATTAAGTCCCATTTTGGAAAGACAGTACAGTGGTGCCTCGCTTAGCGATGTTAATCCGTGCAGAAAAAATCACTGCTAAACGATACCATCGCTAAGCGAAAATAAAAAGCCCATAGAAACGCATTAAAACGCAATTAATGTGTTCCTATGGGCTAAAAACTCGCCTTTAAGCAAAGATCCTCCATAGCGTCGCCATTTTCGGTGCCTCTAAAGCAAGGTATCTGTGCCTGAAAACAGCGGGCGGCCATTTTATTTACCCAGCGGCCATTTTGAAACCGCCAATCAGCTGGCCGAAAATGGGGGCTTTGTGATGATCGCTTCCCTGCGATCATCGCAAAGCGAATTTCCCCCATAGGGACCATCGCAAAGCAATCGCTTTTGCGATAGCAAAAAGTCAACCGCAAAGCGATTTCGTCGCTATACGGAGCGATCACTATGCGAGGCACCACTGTACTTTTAGAGATTAACATGAACATATAACACACAGGAGCTGAGTTAGTCAGGCCTCTTTGTTTTACCAAACGCAACTCCGTCTTGACGAAAGGTTATGAACCAGTTATGTTTCAGATACAAAGTTAGACTACTTCCCAGTACGACAGTCTAATGCTGTTTCCAGAACATGACACATGCTTTTCAGTTGGCTTTTAAAGACTCTCTGCCTTTCAAAGTATCTTCTACCCTGAAAGACTGCTCAGAAGGTCAATTTTTCCAGAAACATCAGGACAACTTTTCAATGGAGAACTGGGATGTAAAAGTTTGAACACATTGGCAGTATTAAATAGGGATGGGAGTTCAGATTCAGAAATAGTTGGATTTCACCAGACAATGCCAGAGTCAGATAGCTCCGAATATATCTGAACCAAATTTGATAGTTCCAAATATCAATAAAAATACTTCCTACTATTCCCATTTACTCCTGTAGCTCAGAAAGGAAAAGACTAGGTTTCTGCTTGCTAGAGGAGGAAGTGACCGTGAAACCTGTTACTCAGGTATTCTGGAGTGATTTTTGGAAAATTAAACTTAAAGACGCTCTAGAACTAATGGTAGTGGACACAGAAAACTCGAAAAACCTGTAAATGATGTATACCTGCACCAATAAAATATAAAACTAGGCACTGACACCTTGAGGCATCTTTTCACATTGGTTATTTCCAACTGAAAGGTGGGCACTGTTGCTTATAAATCCACTGAGCATTTGCTGTTATGATATGCTTTAGATGCAAACTTGTGCTGCATCAGCTTCCTCCATTTCCTTTTCTGAATCTTCAACTTACACTGACATTTTCTACATCTCATTATATATTGTTTTATTAATATAATTAGGAATAGGATTTATGATTACTAGATTCATAGATTATGTTATAAATCAACAGGGAAATATATTACATTTAGGGCCTTTTGGGATACATCAGGTGGGGAAGGTTTTGTCACAGACAAGATGGCTATATTAAATTAATAGATATTGTGTCTGTGTGTTTTTCTTTGGAAAAGTCTGTGTTCAGCTATAGCAGAATCAGATACTGTTCTTCTTTGAGTAGTCTATTGGCAATATGAAATGTGGGTGTGTTAGTAGTAACAGGCATTTGGGGAACACTGCAGGAATGCTGCCTGTATCCACTGCAGCAACTTCTACTGAAAGGAGTAGAAGATGGAGGACAGACCGCAATTGCTATTATGAGCCCGCCAAACAAAACCTATCACCCAAATGCTTTGTTCAACACTGACAGTATGAAATAGTGGCAGGCAACAATATATGGCATGTGTGTGTCTTTGCCAAGGTGGCAGAAAAGCCTCTGGTTCAAGGTGAGGCAGATATGAGTGAACTTCAAGTGTGTTCCAGTAACATCTTTATGCAGGGCAAGGGACTAAAGAAGATGGTGAAGAAGGCACTTTTCTTCCAAAGAGCTGAAGGGCCAGAGAAAGACAAGGATATTATCAGCACTCAGAATGACAATGTCAGCTTGGGCAGCAGCACTATTGTTATTTTTGTGGTTGGAAAGGGGATTTATAAAGACCCAGACATTGCCTTCCATATCTATAACAATCAGCTCCATCATATTGAAAGAAGGGTTTATCTTCAGCCCCCATTCACAGGAAATCTGTCCTGCGCATAGCAGCATTGTGGCTGGTGGGAACTCTCCTTCAAGTACATACACATCTGATGTGTGGGAGGAGGAGATGGAGTGGACTCAGGTGGGCATTATTTCAGAAGCATGGGACAAAGGAGATGGAGTGGACTCAGGTGGCCATTATTTCAGAAGCATGGGACACTAAAATCACCCCTGTCCCTCCAGCAGCATCTGCCTCATCAGCTGCCAGAACTAGTAGTGATGACAAAGTAACACTCCCTGTCAGAAACATGTAGTAAAAACTGGAGCTCTCCTCTGAAGAAGCCAACAATCTGGAAGCATTTTCAACAGTGTGCAACAGATGCTTACATAGCTGAGTGCATCTACTGAAGATACTCAGGTATGAGCATGACGTGGGCCATCTTTCCAGTACTGTAGTAGCATGCTCAGCCACTTAAGACTCAGCATAGACATTGCAGGTGGCAAATGAAGTGGATACTGTAGGGGCAAGTAGCTTCCTTATTATGAAGGGTAAGAGGGCAGAGGTAGGGCTATCAACCCAGGGAAGCAGGGAGCTAGATGGGCAAATAGCAAGAGGTGGGTAGCAGCAAATGCCAGCCGCGCATCTCAAGAATAAGTTCCAGGCTACATAAAGAAGCTTGGAATGGGTGCAGGAAAAGGCATTTTGCAAATATAAAGATGCCAGAATTACTAATGGGGCGATCTCCAGTGAAGGACATTGGTTTCAGTAGGTCTCTGGCAGAACTGGCACTCTGTTACCAATTTCCATCTCAAATGACCCTTTACTCAGAGGTCCCCATCCCCTAGTCCACGACCCGGCAGCGGTCCGAAGCCTATCCAGGACTGGGCCGTGGACACAGATCTCCTACCCCTTGTGAGCGCCCCGCATGTGCATGAGCACGTTCCACCCTGTGCTCACGCTGTGTGCATGCATGCGCAGTGGCCCCCACAAGCACCATTGCACACATGCACATGAGTGCATTGCAACCCTGTGAGTGTGTTTGTGTGCAAGCGGGGGTCCCCAAGTGAAATATGCACATGTGTGTGCGAGAGCTCCACCCCCGTGCGGGCACACCAAACACCCCCGAACCAGTCCATGGTTGGGAGAAGGTTGGGGACCACTGCCTTAACTGAAGAATGGTGCTAGAATTATATTGGGGTGTCAAAGCTACTGTTTGTGTAGCAGTTGGCCTGGACACTGGTGGTACATTTGACAAGTGACATCTGGAGCAGCCATGATATTAAACATGCCCATCTCTCCCTGACAGGACACTGGTGGGAAGTGGAGGCATCAGGCACACAAGGGCAGGTCATAGGTGAGTCCTGTTGAATCTTGCTGTGATGGAGGACAACCACACAGCTCACAACATTCAATAGTTTCTGAGAGACACAGTGCAGCATGGAGTCTAGCTACAGAAAGGCAAGGTCTCTTTGTCACAGGCAATGGGCCAAATATGGTTGTAGCAGCACTGCAGGCTGGGTGGTTGAAAAGGGTGCAGTGTATGACCATACTCTCAGCCTGTTAGTTTGGGGTGGTTCACAGAGTATGGAAGACATGTGCATACCTAGTGTAACTGAGTGGGTCAGAAAGGCAGCAGGGCATTTTCACCACAGTGTTCAGGACAGGGAACTGTTGTAGCAGATGCAAAAAAAACTAGGATCACTGCACCGCATAATGCAGCTAAATGTGGAAACTCAATGTTACTCCACTTTCTACCTGCTTGAAAGAGTGCTGGAGCAGCTAAGGGCACTCCATGATTTAGTATTGCAGGTTTCCACTGGTTTAGATGCTTCTCTGGGCACAGAAAATGGGACATTATGGGTCAAGTGGTCTATGTCCTCTGAAGCTTGCAACACAGGTCCTCACTGAGGACAGTCATCCTTAGCCAGGTGATCCTAATATTCCAGAGTTTTGTTGCCATGATGGACGTCATAATGAGGGAACAGTCTAGGTGGATGGGGGACTTCAGCATTTGTGATGGGAGGGAGAACAGCATTTGTGATGGCCTGAAATGGTGGCCCTAGCCAGCAAACGAAATGAGAATTTAAGATAATGTTTTATAATCTACATTTTGGATGTTTATATCCATGTTTTCAAACTTTTGTTTCTTTCTTCTGTTCTCCCCAAACTGACAAAGTCTTAGTATCAAATAATAATTTCCCATCATTTGACTTTTATCTTTTAGTGGTATTTAAACTATTATGAAAAATACTAGTAATCTGTTGAATATCTTAAAACATTTTTTTAAAAAGATAGCTACTCACGTTTGTGGTTGTGATGGGTCATCCCCCAAAGAAACGCTCTCCCCTTGGATTTCATTGAAGCACTTCTCACAGAAATGATACCTGTCGGCAAGAAGGCCATATTTGGGTGAACTGTTCCGTCCACACAACACAGCCCAAGCCAAGCAACGGAGTCACCAATCACAGCAGGCCAAGGAGGGGGGCGGGAGCAGAGAGCAGGTCATCAACGGCGACAGGGACATTCAATGATGAAGATTTATGGGACCCAGAGATTGTGTTTGGTTGGTTTGTTTTTTGTTTGTTTTGGTTTGGTTTTTTGCAATCAAAGCCAAGTGCAGACAACGACAAGCATGAAGGAGAAATAAAAAACAATACACACACAAAAACAAACAAAGAAATGGGGGTTTGCAGGACAAAAAATAAAAACACAGAAGCAAGACAGGACAACACAAAGCAGAAAGCCAAGGCAAAGCACAGATTAGCATTAAATCTCTCAAATGGGATCATAAGCAGCAAAATATAGCAAAAAAGCGTATTGCATTTCAGTGTACCCATGCTTTCCTCATTTTAATAATCAATGCCACATAAAGCAGAGACTCAAAATGAAGAAGAAAAAGGGTAACTGCAATTGCTGCTCTGACAACTACATCAGGGTAGCAATTTTCTTCATAAGAACATCTGCCAGGAGAGGGCTGGAAAGGGGCAAGAACAATCCATCTTGAGAATGGTCACATGCTGACAGAACACTGCCTTTCCCTCCTGAAGTGTCTGTCTGCAACATGTTTAAAGAAGTAATTGTTGTCAATCTGCCAAATTGCAGGTACTTTGAGACATAACAAACAGCTACACATCTGTATGTTTTTAATATATAAAGTATTGATATATCTCCATTTAGAGGCATGGAATGGTTGAGGTGTTAAAAGATTTACATCTTCATCATAATTAACCTTGAATGTTTTACTCAAGGTGTTATTTACCCTCAAGAGGACACACAAATGTCAGCCTTTCCACTGCTAAGCAAGTTAATTTGAGTGCACAAACACAACAAAAGGGAACAAAAACAAAAAACAAAACTGCGACAGTTTCTTAAAGCAAAACAAAACCAACATTAGAGGATCAGTATTTGCTAAGAGATCAGCTTTCCATGGCCCCCATTTTCCAGTACATAATAGCAAGTTGTGCTATAACTGACACAGTGACAGAAACATCAAACTGAATATTTGAAGAACAGAGTCCAAAGGACAACACCAGTGCTATCTGCCAAGAGGCTTTTTTTGGCTTGAATGCTTTGGCCAGTAAACTTCCATACCACATAACACACTCCTTTGGACGTTCATGGGGTGCTAAAAGCCATTTGCAATACGGCATGTGGGCTTGGTGATTAAACATTAAAGACATCAGAAGAAACATTCAAATTTCTGCATATACTTGTAACAGTTCTTTGTATATTTAGTTATAAATAATTCTTAATGTATACAATGGGCTTAGGTTTTTTAAAGCAAAATTCATCCTTCTCTTTCAACTCCTATCTAAAGAAAGCAAAAAGATTACAGCAACATTTTGACTAAAATGTTTCAGAGAAAACAAGGAAAGTCTCCTGCTCTATGTTCTCAATGCTGCTTCTTTCTTCGAAAAGCTATTAACACAATTTTCCTGTCAGATGTTGGCTGACCCCAAAGGAGAAGGTAAACCCTTCTGTAAAAAAAAAAAAAAGACACAGTCTTGAGAAAATAGATTGCCACTGTTATGGAAGTGAGAATGGTAAAATTAAACCATCACAATTCCTATTCAAATCTAGAAAGTGTATCTCTTCCACTTCCAAAAAGAGTCATCTAGTCATCCACGTAGGTCCACTTGTGGACTATAGGGGACCTTCTGATTGGTGGACTTTGGCTAAGTCCTTAAGCAAGAGTACATACTCAGCATCTTTTATGCCTTGGCTTTTAAGAGATACCAGGCAAGCACAAATCCTGACTATGGCAAATATTATAGTTTTTTTTAAGAGAGAGGTCACAAAAAGAAAGATTCAAGTAAGCCCACATCTGTCTTAGCAAACATCCTGGGTTTTTTTGGTTTGGTTTTTAAATATAACAACAGTTTCATTTTATCTGTGGATATAATAATTGCATGTATTTAAAGAGAAAACCCCTCTCCTTCTCTGGGAAAAGGAGGAAGACAAAGAAGGCAGAGACTCTAGATGCAGACATGCATGCTTTGCTGTGCACTGCTTCGCAAAGAGAAAAAAATTATTCACATTTTACTGTAATAGCTCTAAACTTGTCTATAGCATATAATGAGTTTATATGAGCATTTTTTCCTTGAAAAACAGAGGTAAAGTCAAATGGTATGACAAAACAGTTATTTACATAACAAGGCTGTTCAAAAAGCAAGAAAATGACTGCCTCTCTCTAATATGTTTTTTGGTAGCAGGCGCAGAGCTGTTCCTAAATGCTGTCTTACCTGTTTTGGTAACTGTAATACGTAGCATCTCGCGGGATTGTACATAACTGTTTTCCATAGCAACATAAAGTCTGTGGTGAGAACTCCAACTGCCAAGAGAGAGGGGAGGGGGTACAGGTTGCTTATAGACATCCAAGGAACTATAAGACTTGCAGATATTATCCAAGCCTGAAGGTGCAGAACACAGCCTGTGGGGTGATTATACTTCCTTAAACTGAATACGCAAAAAACCCACATGTAGGTTTGTAGAGACACACAAAGAAGGAATTCCACAAAGAGGAATTTCCAAGTATTGTGTACTATGAACAATTGTGGGTGCATGCCAGTGTACTTACTGCCTAACTAGGAGATGACAAACTCAAGTTTGGTAATCCATAATCAATGCTGTTTATGAGCAGAAACAGCTTCTAGAAGTTTGAATTTAGTGGTAACAGTTAAGAGAGACTTAGATATTCATTCCATATCTTACAGCTTGGCAAACATATTGTTTCTACAACAATACATGATTACTTTATGGTGGCAATCCTATACCTGCTTACTTAAGAACCCTATCCTAATGAACGTTGTAGGACTCATTTCCAAGCAAATATTCATAAGATACAGCTGTCAAGAAAAAGAAACAATTCAAATACTATTATGACATTATGTACATAGGTATGTGGGGACGCACAAGAACAACAAATCTCTCACACCCTGGATAACAATGTTTCATGCACACCATAGCACAATATTAAGGGATGTTTAATCAGGCCTTCAGGAAGTAGTAAACATAATTTAGTATAATTTTAACAGCGTCTGAATTAATAACATATGACATTTTACCAACAAAGGCATCTGCACTAATTTTTCCCAATGTGACCTATAAGAGAGATCAGGAACTGCAGGGACATTGCAAGAAGATAAAGTTATGGACTGCAGGTTTACTAGACTTGCTGCCCACAATACACTCAAAACTGTCAAGAAAGGATGTTTAAAATTATGTAGTCAACTGCTCTGATAACTCTTAACAGTTTCCCAAGTTTCTACTTAGAAGCACCTCCTCACCTTTCGACCACAGCAATAGCCAAGGCTCTGCATAACTGGATCAATTTCCTGCTCAAACACCTCTGCCAACTTGGAACAGTACTTATACACTCTAGATGTTTTGCGATTGTAGAGCCAGGCGTTGTTGAACATAAGCCAAATATCATCCACATATTGCCAGGGTTCTTGATACTGTCCTGTGTCAAGCTTCCTCTTGATAGTAGAAAGATCCATGGGGTTCTTCACTATATCAAAGTAGTCCTGAAAAAATGCACAAAAAAGTTAGAATTCTGAAATCTTGGATTCATTTTGGGCTTCAGCTTCTTCTTGAAACTTTGATCATTTTCCAAACTAAAGTAAATTGGAGACAGCATCTGTTTTTCATGAAAACTGATTTGACTGTTAAAGGAGATTGATCAGTTCTGAACTATATTTTTCCCAGGTGAATGAAGATAATCTTATTCTGAAATATATTTCTCATGGCTTCCTAACTAAAGTGAAATCTGCAAAAATATGAGATGGGCAGATGAACATCTTTAAGAAGGCACAGAACACTGAAAATGTATTAATAGAAATAAAATGCTCCGTAAAACATACTTACAGGAATTCCTAGTAGCTGGGGATCCACAGGCTGTCGGAAAGGAAGGGATTCTGGGTCCTGACGGTAAAGTGCCTCCAAAGTTGGCATAAGTGCCTGCCTCAATTCCTCTGGTTTGAAAACTTTTTAAAAGACAAACACAGAAGAAATTAGTAACAATATTAGCAAAATGCTGTAACATCCAGTCAGTACATTGCCTGCATTTTTGCCAGTGTCTTAATATTAGAGCATCAGACTAGTGGAAACCCTAATGTGCAAAAGCCAGAAGATGGTTCTGATATGATAGACAGTATTAATAAAATAATTCATTGAAGGGCTAGCATGTACAATATGTACCCCTAATACTAATATTAACTAAATAAATTTCATCAGTCTTTCAAACAAGTAGCTGTTAAATCTGTATAAGCATTATCAGACAAACAAACAACCCCCCCTCAAAAAAGGAGATGAAGATATTGTGTAGTTCTTTAAAGACACACTGCTACATTTTAATGCGAGCTTTTGTGGACCAAGTCCATTTCCTCAGACATTAGAATGAAACTGTATGACTGTCCTATTTACGCAAGGCCCCATGACCAGGTGAGAATACAGAAAACTGACAAAGCAATTATGGTTTGTTCATAAAGGAATAGGACTATCAGCATGTGTATAATTACAATTATGATCCTACAAAAAAACCCAGTGAGATTACTGATAGAAGTGGCAAACTGTGGGAATCAATGTAGATTTCACATTTTGGAAATGACTTAGGAACTCCTGATTCCTACTCAATATATTTCAGGTTCTCTACAGATACCTTATCTCAACAGTTTCTCTTCCAAGGCTAATTCTGTAATGTTTTTTCCCCTAGCACAATTACTTTCAGGTCATTCACCTTTTACACGCAATATCAGGGGGTATCTAGTCCTCTATAATGTGTTATAGAGTGGTGCCCCTCATAATGAGTGATTCATTTAACGACAAATCCGCTTAGCGATGTGTTTTTTGCGATCATATAGCAATGTTTTAAATGGGAAAACATCGCTTTGCGATGATTGGTGTTTCGCTTACCGATTTTCGCATAGCGATGTTTTTGGTACAGCTGATTGGCGGTTCCAAAATGGCTGCCCGCAGCGTTTTCGCACCCTTTCCTCACTTACCGGGCAGCGAAGATGGCAACCGTATGGAGGATTTCCGCATAGCGGTGAGTTTTTTGCCCATAGGAACGCATTAAACGTGTTTTAATGCGTTCCTATGGGCTTTTTTGCCCCGCATAGTGACGAATCCACATAGCAACGATTTTTTTTTGAACGGTTTATCGTCGCTATGCAGGGCACCACTGTATACCATTCTTTTACCAACAATGCTCCTCCCACTCTACATAGGACAAGCAGGACAATTTCAATGCAAAAGAATCTGAGGATATACTGTAAATCTGACATGAGAAACTACAACACATAAAAACCTGCTTCAAAATATTTCCATTTACCAGGACAGTCATATAGTCTCATTCTAATGTCTGAGGAAGTAGACTAAATTCACAAAACCTCACATTAAAATACAGCAGTTAGTCTTTAAGGTGCTATAGTACCTCTCCCCCTCTCCCCCCTTTTTGTCTGATATATTTCATATGTCTATCCCCCATCAGTGTTTTACAAGACAATGGATGATTTCCAACAAAAGTATTTGTGTTACCAACACATTAAATACACATTCAAGAATGTGTATTACCAACACATTAAATGCACATTCAACACTACTAAGCTTCCAAATATTATAAATGAACAAAAGTAGCTTACTTTTTCGCTTTGACTGTCCTGAAGCAGGTGATGACTGAGTGCCTGGAGTACTAGGTCTTTCCTCCTCTTCTTTCATTTCTTGCTTCATTTCTGGTTTCTTCTCTTCCTGCTCTGTTGGTTCAGATTTACAATCTTCTGGCAGAGACTCTACCTTAACCTGGAAATCATACATTAAAAAAAAAACACACAGATCCCAATTTATTTATTTTAATTTTATTTAAAATATTTTTATCCCACCTTTCTCCTCAAAAGAACTCAAGGCAGCTTACATAAATTAAAAAAAGTATTTAAAAGTCAAAAACAGTAATTATACAAATATTAAAATAGAATTAAACAAGTATTAAAGTAAAATAGTAAATAAAATCAGTATTAAAACACATTTAAAACAGCAGGGCACAACAACCCATTTAAAAACCTCTCTCAGACCACCAGTCATTAAGGAAAAACCTGCCTGAAGAGAAAAGTATTTGTCTGCTTGCAGAAGGACAGCAAAGATGGAGCCAGCCTAGCTACCCATGGGAGGGAGTTCCAGAGTCTGGGAGCAGTGACAGTGAAGGCCCTCCCCCTTGTCCCCACCAAGTGCAATTGTGAGGGTCATGGGACTGAGCGAAAGGCCTCCCCTCATGATCTTAATGCCCGGGCAGGCTCATAGAGGGAGATGTGGTCTTTTAGATAGCTTGGACCCAAGATGTTTGGGGCTTTATATATTAAAACCAGCACTCTGAATTGTGCCTGAAAACAGATCGGCAGCCAGTGGAGCTGCTCTAACAGAGGAGTTATAGATTTTCTGCAGTCAGTGCCAGTTAAAATCTGCCTGCAGCATTTTGGACCCTCTGGAGTTTCCAAAAACTTTCCAAAGGCAGCCCCACATAGAGCACATTACAGTAATCCAGCTGAGATGTAACTATGGCATTTATGACAGTGGCCAGATCTGATCTCTCAAGAAACAAGCACAGCACTAGCTTTAACTGTGCAAAGGCACAGTTCAATTACAGTATGTTGAATGCTCTCCTCCCTGAAGCAACTCTGGAAGCCACCCTTCTCACATGCAACTGTTTACAATAAAGACTAAGAGACAGTTCAAATGACTATATGTTTCCTCTAAACATCTTGGTCAGAAAAGACACCAAAATATGGAGGATAGGCTGTTACCCAAGCAGCAGATCCCCCGTCTCCATGTCACTGAAATGGTCCAATGGAAAGGAAAGAGCCAATACAACTGGTTCCAGCAACGTCACAGGAGTTGGCAGAAAGACAGGAACTGCCTTCAGGACTCCATGTCTGGATTATTTCTTACAATTTAGACAGGGTGCCAATAATTTTGGCCAGTCTATTTTTGGGTTTCTGTGTGGGATTGTATCAGATTTGACTTTTCTTCTCTGTTTTTTTGTGTTGTTCCAACGCAAACCAAAGAAATAAACATGTGAGTACCAAAATATTTGCAACTGCAACAATTTTGAGAGAAGGGTTGCATTTTCTGACAGAATTGCAAGGGTGCCAATATTTTTGGTCATGACTGTATGTGTCCATAGCGTATCTGTAGCTATTAGAAAACTTAAATTTATCTGATTGGTGACCATCTGAAGTTATATTGTTATGTTTGATTCACACTCCAACAGGTTGTATAAACAGAAGACCTGATCATTCACAACACACCAATTTTTGAAGCATCTGCATTTTATTTACAGGTTTTATTAATTTTCAGAAATATAATGGCAGTGACTTGAATATTTGATTTAGGTAGAACTTGAATCAAATCCATGTTCAGCTTTGACTCCAGTAACTTCGAGCCACTGATGCTCTTCTCAGTTTAATCTACTGCACAGAACTGTTTTGTGGATAAAATAGGAAAACTTTATGCCACTTTTGAAGAAGATCTGAATGTGAAAAATTGAAATAATAATTATTATCACTAGGCTTCCTTTTGTACATACTATACACTCACCTCTGGTTTCTCTTCCATCTGAAGGTCTGTTTGTTCTGACTCTTCTTCTTCCAATTTAAACTCCATTTTAATTTCAGGGACAGGCTGCTGCTGCTGCTGCTCAGGGGCAGCTTGTTGAGAGTTCACATCTGCACTACTAGTAGATGGTGGGTTGGATACTTGCCCATCAATATTTGCACCTGGCTGTGAAAGCTAAACCAAAGAAGAAACTATTAGTTTTAGATTCTGTACACATTTAAATACTGAAAGTCTCAAGACTATGTAGCAATTTAGTATTTGATGCATACTGTGCTTCTATATCTTCGGTAACATGTGTTATCTCTCCCTTCTCCCAAACAACATGATAATGAAGTGATACTATATAACAAATATGACACACACTGCCAGTGCTTTTTCACCCTAGAAGCATGTTTAGTGATGTATACCTTCCACTAATGCCAAAACGTACATGTGATTCATGAATATAAAGAGGTTACTTACCTGTAACCATAGTTCTTTGAGTGGTCCTCTGTGAATTCACACATATCGGTATTGTCTGCGCCTGCGCTGACTCTCTCGGAAGATTCTAGAGCTAAAAGTAACAATTTTATGGTGTGATCCTCCACGAGGTATATGCTCCTCCCACCCACCATCTTCCCCAGTTCCTTAATTTTATCCGCCGGGTACGAAGGAAAGAATTAATTAAATAATTACATAGCTAACCCATGACGGATAGAGGGGAAGGATGGGCGGGTTGTGTGAATTCACAGAAGACCACTCAAAGAACTATGGTTACAGGTAAGTAACCTCTTTTTCTTTTTCGTGGCCTCTGTGAATGCACACATATGGGTGACTAGCAAGCTGCACTTACTGGTTTGTGGGTCGTCATGGTAAGAAGGATGACAGGACAGCTCTGCCGAATGCAGCATCTTGGCACGCTCTGACGTCGAGCCGGTAGTGCTTGAGAAACGCGGATGGTGTGGACCACGTAGTGGCACAACAGATGTCAGGAACCTCGCTGTCACGCTGGAAGGCAGTAGAGGTGGCCAGCACCCTGCGGTGGAAGGCAGTAGAGGTGGCCAGCACCCTGATAGAATGAAATGTCAAATGTTCTGGAGGGGATTTCCTCAACAAGCTGTAAGCAAGGGAAATAGTCTGTACAATCTAACGTGCTATGGATTGAGAGGCGGCTGAGGTCCCTTTCTTTGGGCCATGGAAGCATAGAAAGAGTTTATTGGACTTTCTAAAAGTCTTTGTCCTTTCGACATAGAAAGTCAGGGCACGTCTGACATCGAGGTTATGGAGCATATGTTCTAGGGGCGATGAAGATCGAGGCTTGAAGAAGCAGGGTAGTATAATGGGTTGGTTGAGGTGGAAGTCAGAGACCACCTATGGGAGAAAAGGAAACATCAAAATAAAGATTCATTTATCGGGGTGAAACTGGATAAAGGGAGGATCGGCTCGAAGAGCCGCGAGTTCACTAGCCCGTTTGGCTGATGTGATCGCAACAAGGAAGGCTGATTTAAGAGTCAGGAATTTGAGGTTGACGGACGCCATGGGCTCAAACGGAGGCCGCATCAAGGCATTAAGAACCAGCTGTAATGACCACTGGGGGGTGATACGTTGTTGAGGAGGGCGAAAGTTGTTGAGCCCTTTGAGGAACTTCCTGACAGTTGGGTGAGAAAACAACTTGGAGGAAGGAGAATCGTTGGGCTGGTGGGCCATAATGGCCGAAAGATAGACCTTTAACGTGGACTGGGAAAGGCCAAAACTGAGATGGAGAAGATAGGCAAGCAGAGTCTTCAGAGAAACAGGTATAGCAGGTAAGCCATTGTCCTGAGTAGACTGCAAAAAAGATTTCCATTTGTTTTCATATAGGAGGGTAGTGGAAGGTTTTCGGACTCAAAGAAGAACCTGCATCACATCGGGAGTATCCTCCATGCCACAAGACTGAGAGAGGCGACGTCTGGGTGAAGAACAAGGCCGTGGTCGAGTGAGAGGAGATCTGGGCGGAGAGGAAGGCGAAGCATGTCCAACGACATCAAGATCAGGTGAGTGAACCATGGCTGGCAGGGCCAGTATGGGGCTATCAGGATGGCGTTCGCTCTGTCCTGTCGAAGACGGACGATCCACCCGCTGGATGAGAGGCAAAAGAGGAAAAATGTACAGGAGATCCTGAGACCAGTCCATCAGGAATGTGTCTCCCAGAGAGTTGCTGTCCAGTCCCGATCTGGAGCAGAACCGGGGACATTTCTTGTTGCCATCGGCTGCAGAGGTCTATTGAGGGCGTGCCCCATCATTGGCACAGCCGCTGAAATATGACATCGTTCAGAGTCCATTCGTGTGTTCTCGTCAGTAGCCGACTGAGCCAATCTGCCAAGGTGTTGTCGTTGGTGGAAATGTGGGCGGCAATAGGGAAAACATGGTGGGAATAGCACCACTCCCAGAGGT